CTCTGTCTCTGGGACTTTACGACTGTGACTGCTTGGAGTTTGTCCTTCCGTCTGAGGAGATTGCTGCTGCTCCTCGTATCGCTCGATCACAGACTGATCTACTCCGTGACTTGCTGGTGTTTTATCAGAACTTTTATGAGGCATAATGTTTTCCTTTTGCATCTTTGAACACCAATGGTCCCACCGGCCGTGCCAAATTGTTTCGCGCGGTTATTTGCTAACAATTAAAAAGGGATCAAACGATTGTGTAAGGGACAAATCTCTTGGAACAAAGTCCCAAAAAGGGGTGTTTATCGTGATGTGTTCAAACCACCTTAAACTGTGACTTTTAGATAACTGCAGGGTTTAGTCGTTGTTAGGATTTTGGGCGATCCAGCAATTTGGGTGACGACTCCTTTGCTCTGGGCGTCCATAAGGCATTTTACTCGCTTAACATCTAGGCGTTCTGCAAAATTGAACGACAATGTTCCTTTGTTTGTGGGCTGCTTACCCTTTGTTTGGGCTTTCATCTTGGATTCTCAACTGGACTTCGTTCTTTGGGCCATTTTAATTTGGGCTGCTCAACAGATGTCAACTAAATAACGCGTAACATTTGGAGAAACAATTAAAGATTTTTAAACATATTCTCTTAAAATGGCTCTAATGGAATTTATAAGAAATGTCAATGATTCTATAATAATAACTAAGGCCATGCTTGATGGGCTTTAGATTCCATGGAACTTGGCATTTAAGCTCCATTTTCCACAAAATGACTTGTTTGATGTGTAAAATTTGGATGGAAATTGGTTTTCTTGATCTGCACCCACGCGCCTTGTTTTCCCTTATTTTGGGGAAAATCAATTCCCACCGATTTTGTGGGATTTGATTTTCCAGTTGACTATATATATAGATATATAGATATATATATATATATATATTTTTTGGCAATTGAAATAAATTTCATACAAATTGTAAAAAAAAAAAATCACTTTAATGGACAATTTCTATGTAAAAAAAAGCCAAGCGAACACTAAATTTTGATTAAAAAA